CCTTCCATCTCATGTCGTTTGTGCACTCACTATTGAATCTTTCAAGCAGAGACTCGATGAAACTTTGGCACACCTCACATTCTCACACCACTAAAAGCAAACGCAAACTCACTGTAGCTTCATTGTCTATTATCTCCTACCCGGAACTCAATATGGCTCCCTTTTCGACGTGTAACGATTCAACTGTGTAAATATTCTATGGGGACAAGAGAAGCACGAGCTTGTAAGTTATGCTCATAATAAAACTTTGACTTTGACGTAGGCGACTTTTGATCCCCTGGGATTGGCACCTCTTCTGATGTGTCAGAACAAGTAGACCAATAGAAAATTTACGAAACTTCGAATGTACGAAACACCGCAGTATTTTACTGATAGCACTCAAGTCTAATTTGACCATTCAGACTAATTCTTGCAGGGATCTAATTATGTTATTGTTAAACATGTACTGTTTTCAAAGCATGACAGAATTGGAGTATATATCACTACTTTGGAATAAAATTTGCTTGGGAAAATAAAATAAAATAAAATCACAGATTACTAGAAACTACTTCATCATGAGACCAGAGATCGGATTCACCACAATCATATGGTTGTTTGTCCACGCGTCCGATCATGGAGATTATTCGTGTTACGCTGTGTATGGTAGCGCTTTAGCGCTTGCACAAATTGTTTTGGGGCACACAGAGGAGGATTGTGCAGACGAATATTCACCGCTTCTTCTGTAGTCAGCACCCGACAGCAAACCTCCCTCGATAATCGCCCACGGACCTTATATAGTAGTCGGAAAGTCTCGAACAAGCCCACAGTGTGATTTGTTTCAGCTAGGTGTGAAACCACTGCACTGGTGAGCAACTTAATCATTCCGGTGTTCAACCACGCAGAGTGGCGGTCACGAATCCATTTGGACAATCGCCTGACCATGCGGCCCAGGTACGTTGTCCCACAAGAACAAGTAAATGAGTATTCACAGAAAGAGACGGCCAAATCTGGAACTTTGTCCTTCAGTAGGAAACTCAAAATTGGCTTGGACATGAACAACATACGAAGCTTGAATGATCTTATTGACTGAGTCTTTTTGTATGATCTCAGCTGATGTGTCCGTCTTGAACGATAAAGAAATGTTTACGGATTTTTTTCTTAACCTGGTTTTTTTTAAAGAGTTCTCCGTGGACTTACTTATTTTGTTGAGTAAATGTTCCGGATGTCCGGATCGATTTTATACCACGCAGTTCTTCTTCTAGCGTGTTCTCACTGCAGTTCTTTCTTGCCGTGTCTGCTAGGCAACGAACCGGATTTCTTTTCACCTTAAGCAAATTGGTCAGTTACATGATTCAGTTCACAGAGCACTGTTTACAGAACGCCGATCAGAGTGCAGCCAAGGGATGGATAAATGACACGGATAGGTTGAGCAACGATGACCAACTTTGAATCCACTACTTCCGGTTCGGTATATTGTCGACCCGTACCAATTCACTAAAGGTGAAAGTGAAGCGAATGTCAAGTCAAATAGATTTAGAGTAAATTTACCTCCAAAACGTCAAGAAAAATGATTCACTTTCTTTTTTCTTCGTGATGAAACAAGCTAAACTAGAATGACCTAAAATATACCAAAACCCCCTTTTGATAGTTGTATAACATGAGTTGAATTTTTTGAACGGAATTTGCTCGTTCGTTTCCATATTCCCTCTTGCTCGCGCGTATCAGCTGCTTCGTGGGCATATGTCATCTGTGGTGGCAGTGCAGTTTCATCGGTCCAAAGGTAGATTGCTCAGTTTCTCCCGGGATCGTGTTCTTCGGATATGGGATGTTCAGCTTCAAGTTTGCCTTCAGCGAATCACCGGTGTATTTCCCAAAGGCATAGATGGTAAGCAATCGATGCTATCTGGGGCAAACATGAGCACTCTAAATCTCATTGAACAACTAAAATTAAATAATTTCATTTTACCTCTAAATATATCAAAAGGGCGTTCTCTGCAGCATAAGGTGTACAAAGCTCTCAATTCACACTTAAATCACACACTAAAGAATTAAGATTGACATTCTTGAACTGTTTCTGATGGTATCCGTATTTTTTAAACGAAAAATGCTTAGTATACGTGGTATTGATAAACAATAGAACTCAAAAGTAATATTGCGGAAAAAATCATATAGTTCAAACGATTCTTTTCTAATCTGCAATACGGGGTTCGCCATGAAGAATAAGGTTGCGTTTTGGTTCATTTGAACTACTGGTAAATAATGGTAACAGGGGCAAAATCGGAATAACAAAGAAGGTTTTCTTGGTAATGTTGCGAAAGTTGTTGACATGTTCCGCAACTTTTATAGTCACTAGATATCTGTTTTCTCTCCCGAGTTTTCCTCTAGCACTTGAGAACTTGTTGTAGGTCAGAAATAATTTATATTAAGTTGCGTGTGTTGGTGTGTTCTCCGAGTGGAAATGTTTACAGATGTTTCCTAGCCAGGCTAGGCAACTTCGGGCCTACGAAACACCTGCAAACTACAACTCCAGCTTGGACAACCCACCACCATGAGCATGCAGTTTTTACACATTATGTAACAAATTGTTCCCTGCACTCTCTTCCACCCGGGAAACTGGAATTACATAAAGCTCAACGATGTCGACGTCGTTTGAGATATTTGTGATTCAGAAGATAAACTGATCGCACCTCAGTATCTGCGATGTCCCGATATTTTGTTCACTAATCATTTGACTACATAGTAAATTAGTATGGTTTCGTAGTATTGGCAGCCTGAAGATGTTGGACTGCAAATCTATAAGGGAATGTGGAGACTTGATGCTTTGCTGTTGGCAGAAAATACGAGATTAATGCATTCAGTTACTCCTGTTTTATCGAATGTGTGATATTATTTTGCCTTGTCTCCAGCTATGACTACGACAAGTGAGCTCTTTGGTCAGATATCTG